CACTATCAAGAGCTTTAGGGATATAATAACTCTTCTGGCTCCCTCTCATTTATAACTTATTCTGCTTTTGTTTGTACAGTCTTGTTTAGGCCTTTATTTTATGAGGAGCACATTCTTCAGTCTCTCTTCTTTTTTATTGAAAAGGAAAAAACAATCCTTGATTTCTTGTGGGTTTTCTTGTTCTGTAACTTGTTGTGTCCATGTTTCCTTGCAACTTATCAACATTGACGTATCTCAAATAAAGTTTCAATCTTTTCGGTTTCGGATTCAAATACGTGAGAGAAGGATCAAGCAAACATTGCAAAGGTGATGCCGTTGTTGCTATGCCATCATTGTGTGTGTGGGAGCTTTATCTTTAATCTGCTGCACAGGGAAAGGCAATCTTGTTCGCTCACTGCAAGTGTCTGAAATCAAAAAGATTGCATTCCTCAATGTAAAACTGGTCTTAAAGGATTCCACTGAGATCTTTGTTGCAGCTTGAAACGTTATCAGTACAAGGATGAGGCAGAGTGAGCTATGAAGCAAGAGTGACAGCTTCGGTTGATTCGCACTCTGGGTGATGCTCATTCATAACAACACTAGAATAAACCAATGGTAGAATCCAAAACCAAAAGCCTGGTCTTGGGTCAATGCTTTAGCTTAACATGGATGGAGTTGTAAAAAGTAAGTCATGATTAAAATAGAAAAGTACTATGTAAGTATGTATATACAAAGAACTTTTGGTAGTATCACCAAGATCTTATCAATAGAGTTGTATAGAATACGAGTAGCAATAGGCACCTAACCAATACCCTACTGTTTCGACGACATTCAATAGATCTCAAAGAATACTTGATCACAACTTTTCTTCTTGCTTCTGCTAGGACTCTATGGAATAACAGAAACTGATTTCAAAGCATCTAGATGGTTCAACCGACATGTTCCAAGGAGATATTCTGGGAGCTCCTCTTCGGTATTTGCCTGCACATAGGAAAATTGTACAATCAGATCAATGCTTTAACAAAGTAACGGGAATACCAAAATGGGATTAGAGTTGCACCAGGAAAGAAGAGTAATACTAATAATTAGTTTAACGATTGGAAACTGGTTTACCTGTACCAAGAATGCCATTTCGATAACGAGTTTGTTGAGGTAACCAAGAACGAGACTCACAACTCCTCTTGCAACAGTTGATGACCCAACATCAACGCCCAGCTGTAAATAACAGAGGTGGTGTGTAAAAAGTAAGTTTCTATAACAATGCCCGACCCCAAATTTACCCAAACCTGAAAAGTCACAGTTGTGGAAAATACAAACTCCCACTACACATCCATTCGTACTGTGTTACCTCAATATAGTTCTTTCCCCTGAAGTAATTGATCTCAAGGGCTTGGCCAACAAGGCATGCTTTCTTTCCCACACTCTGCTTAACTATCCAAGAGCCCTGATACGTACAAAAAACCCAATCCGGCCATGAATAGATTGGACAGAAATTGATAAACAGATTTAAAAAGAGGTAAATCTTTTACGCCAACCTTGGATATGTAAGGAATGAGCTTGAACCTTGAATTCCTGTATGCGTCATCCCCATTAACAAAGCTGACTAGCAAAGGATGCTCTTCAATGGGAGTGCTCATCATGTAATAAAGCACAAGGCTGTACGTTGTTGATCCAGGAACCTATATAATTGAACAACCAAGTGAGTCTTTTACCGACGAAAGGAAAGCCTGAATAAAAAGAAAACAATGGTCACAGGAATGTCCTCTTACCTGTATATTCACGATGAAAAAGAACTCTGGTCCACCTTTTGCTGCATATTTCTGCATTTAAAAAGCTTGTAAAACTTCTAATAACAAGAGGGGAGTATATCTATCAGAACAAACAATAAGAATTAGAACCTGAACTATGCCTCCTGGACGGGACCCCAAATCATCCTCCCGCTTGTCAGATTTTAGCCAGTCTGCAGCTACCATTTCCATCAGTGTACCCTTTGCCTTGACCTGGATCCACCAGCAAAGCATGCTTACAAATTGAGGAACACTGAACAGATAGATATGTGCAAAGCATCAAAGACAACAAAAGTTATTTGCTTTTTTTTACCTTCGTCTGGTCTTCAAGATAAGTCTTTCCTCGGATGAGAAAAGTAGAGGGGTCGGTTGTTGTCCAACTACAAGGCAAGGCACAGTTAGGATCAGTTGGAAGTGTGGCTCCATAGCAGCAAGGTACACTAATCTCATCCCTCGCCCTTTCATGCAGGTCAACATAACCCCTCTTTTGAACTGCTCGAGTAAAAAAAGTATAACCATTAAAAGGCAGGTCAAACTGGCAAATGAGAAAACAAAATTACAAGACATAGCTAATATGAGCAGAATATAGGATCACCTGCAAGATCATGTAATTTTTTCACTAAACTCGTAGCGCTATTTAGTTTTGGCTGGCGGGATTCCTGCACAGCAAACAGAAAATCAGAATTATTATATTTCCACGGAAATTTTAGTATGTCTAATGATGTTACTACCTGTGAGTATGTATCTGAATCAAAATCTGAGGTCCAGCTGTCATCCAAATGGTCATTATCTGACGGTTCTGGAACGTCAAAAAATTCATCAACTCCATCATTCAAGTCTACAAGGCTAGACCTTTCTGAAGGAAATTTTTCTGCCTCTGCATTTGCATTGTCCTTAAACATTCCACTTTCGCTCAGAGTAGAATCACCGAACCCACCATCTTCATTCTGACTCAATCTTGCGCTCCTTGTCAACTCCCCTGACGACAGATTGGACGGAAAGCTTCCATGCTTTGCTCTAAACAGTTCTCTCAGGGCTGATTCAACCACTAAGGGTGTTATGATAAAAGAAAAGTGCTAAAACTAAGACAGTTTCCTTCAAGAGAATTGGCAACTACCAGAAAGTCTTCCAAGCATTTTCACGGTAATAGATCTAGCAAGAGATGGTTTCAGATAAGATCTCCAAGACTTCCAATCAACAGCAAGCATGTGCTTCACAACTGATTGTTTTCCATTGTCTATGGGAGAAATCACATAACCACCACCTATGATACAAAAGAAATGTCATAACTATTTGATTCTCAATCCACATTGCAGTTGAACATGTTAGTTACACAAATGAGATAAAAAGTTGCAATAAAAAAGAATAGTGATCAATATGCATTGGCCCAAACCGACAACATATATTCTTTTGAGACACTGAAACAAAAGAAACAAAAGCAGGCTTTTGTGGAAATGAGAAATAAAACTTTGGTTTAAAACTTTCTATTTTCTCTTTAAGAAACACTTTGACTAATCATAAAAAAAGTATAGAGATGAGTAATCTTCAGATACGCCAAGGTAGGTGCAGATAGAAGCAAGAAATGTCATATTTAAATGACTCCACAGGGCTAATGACTAGTTGCAACAATGAACATCTAAGGAAATGCAAAAACTAACTTCGTTTAATTTAAAACTAGGCGTACATTACTTTTAAGGCACGCGCGGATATAGCCTTTCTGAGGCGGACACTTCTTGTGAAATACAGAATGATAGAGAATAACTGTGACAAAATGAGGAAAAAAGGATAACAATTTAGTCAATGGAACATCTGGCAGAATCAAATGAGCAGTTATTTATATTATGAGTTACAAACCATATGTTCCGTCATCTTCCCTTCTCCAGTAACGCCGCAGCGAAAAATCTCTTCTTTTCATGCCCCTGTTAATTCAGCATGTSAATAATAAGACAAACAAAAACACGAGCTCTGGCAGAYAAAGTGYAGTAGCTGACCAAGGTAACCAATCGCTGTATAACTGTTTGTGAATTATATCAGTGTGACCATCAAGATGTTCGACCACACTGCCTTGGTAAAAACAGAAATCCCATCTGCAAAGTCTCGAGAATTTAGTTTAGAAAAAGTAAACAATACTTCATAAAARAAAAATAACCCAAAACCTGCATTTGTTTATGTTCTATGATTTTCATTGTCGGAAGAGTGGCAGMAGTATTTACTCTGATCTTGAGGGTCCAAGAGAAAGAAGCGTTTGGAAAATAGTTTCTGARGTTCCATCAACAACTCCAACAGCCATGATGGCCGGATGATCATCCCACTGTGAAGTCAGGCAAAAGAGTTATCAAAAACATGATTCCCTTCCAATAGCCAATGAACATACTGTTTCAACAGATTACAACCGAAGAAGATACTGACCCTTCCAAGAGAATCTCTCTCTTTTGCCTCTTTGAAAAGACGAAGACCTGCGTGCAGCAGATGATATAACTAACTACGTTCTAGCAAAAAAAAGCAATGACAATTGAGTGTGCACTATACCATTTTGACAACCGAATATTGTCCAAGGAGAAGGCGCAACAACATCAGTTGTAACAGGATCCACTCGTGCAGACGAACGGAGCGTCCAGTCAATAGAACTTGGGTGATGGTCCGGAGCTGAGCTACTCAATCTGATTTTGGAAACCAAAACCATTACAGATGCTAAGTAACTCAGGAAACTTTACAGGTAACTAGTGGCACAGCACAGCCATTACATTTAATAGTTAGCTAAGAGATATATTCCATTGATTAGATTTAGAGGCAAATGTGGAAAACCAGATACCTCAGAGAGTCCCATCGGCTCCTTGAACAATTAAAAACATCTCCTGGAAAAGGAGCACCCTGCATATAATATATAAACTATTAAGCCTCTAACCATCAAACAGAAGAGCTGTCGATTTGTTACTAAATTGCCTTGTACGACCTTTAAAGCTGCCTCTTTGATTAAATTGATCCACCTGGCTGCATCCTCAGGACTGCTTGCTCCTAACTATATACATATATCAATTACAACATGACGCTTTACATATGAAAAGAGCTGTTCATCACAACAAGTCTGTCCAACACAAACAGTAAATTACCTTACCTTGAGCTGATCATTGTGATTTGAGGTATTGTATAATGTAAATATGAATAATGCCTACAAGTGATAAAGACAAACCGATTAGTACTACTCGAAAACTAAGATGACATGTGAATAGAATTTATCTACCATACACAAGAATTTCATACTTTTCTATGAACACTTTCTCTCCCATTGTCAGTAACCCGGATACAGGAATCGATTACCGCACTTCGTCCAGCAGTCTGTAAACATAACTCAGTTATAATCCAAAGACAAAGTTGGCGAGAAGAAAGCACAAATGATGAGATGGTGGTGAGGTGACCTTGGTTTGAGAATCGGAGACAGACTTGAAACTCTGGAGAAGATGATCTCCAAGGACAAAGTAACGTTTTCTAGAGAAATGTAATCCGAATCTGTTGGATCTAATTATATACAACCAACCTTCCATCTTCGTCTCGCTCTCGTTCTCAGACCCAAAAGCCATTAGAAAACCCACAAAGCTTTTACACTACGAAAGTTTCTTGATTTCCAAGGAAAATTCTCCCAATAAGCAAAGAGAATGAAACCCAGAAGACCCACCAAGCCTCTGGGGAAACCCTTGCGATACGAAAACCACGCAGGTTTCTTCTTGTTTTCTCCGTTTATTTATGATACAAACAAAAAAACGACAAGACAAAAAAGCAGAAAAAGGACGAAGACGAGGTTTGTGATTCTCGTAAGTGGAGATCAAGAAACGGATTGATTTCTTCGGGTCATGGCTCCCAATTTCTCTGCCTAAATTCAACAGTTTTTATTTTTTCTTCGGTAGAGACGAAAACTGAAATTTTGGGAGCATATGCCCAATGTGCAAGACAAAAGATTTGGGACGAATCATACGAATCTCAATAAATGACGTTAAAACTTCTGATTGGTCGTTTAATTCTAATCACATTGGCTTTTCAATCATCTTTCTGTAATCGCCACTATTAAATTTTGGTTTCACTTTTTCTTACAACTCTTATGAATTTATAAAAAGCTTTTTTTTTCTAATCTTAATTCGCAAGTATATTGTATTCAATCTTCTTCTATCATTTGTATATTTTAGAATTCAATTATTGAAACTAGAGGATATTCCGCGTATACACGCGGGTTTT